ACTATCTTTGAGTGCACTGTTCAGTGCTAACCTACAGGGCGTCAGCCTGTGTAGCTTCTATTGCTTTTTAGCACAGAATGAGAGAAAGGCAGTTTGTTACATTTTAGAGTACAGAACAGTCAAGACTGGACACATTGTTGTACATCCAGGCTAGTCAATGCCATACCAACCGTACACGCAAGAGTTTACAGAGAAAATGCACTGCATGTACTATAACCAAATGCCAATGTCTGAATGTCAAAAGGGATCAACCCTTAGTGGGGTAAACAGGACAAGATTTAGTCAAGGGTGCACTACACTTAGTCAAGTGAACTATTCAATTCCAGTTTGGATGTTGGCTACAGCCTGTCAAGCACTTGATCTACTGGAGTCCAAAGGTTGGACCATGGTCAGTCCTGCAGCTCTAGTGTAATCAGTCTGGGGATTACTGTGTGCTATTCTGACATTAGTCGAAGAGATAGGCCAGTTTTTCCAGCAATGAGACAATGGGAGGGACTGACTATGACGATAGTGGATAAAGAGCAGTTAATGGTAACGCAAGAGCAAAAGAGGCGATAATGTCCCTGGTGAGTGAATAGAAAGAGCAGAAGGCAAGAAGAGTGAGAGGTTCAGGAGGATAGGGTGTGTGAGAGCGAAAGTGGACATGATGCATGCAATAATGAGAACTGTAGTACATGAGTCTTGCTGAGAGCATCTTAAATAGTGCACAGCTGGGGTTTAAATATGGCAGCAAGAGCATAACTATCTCAAAGTCCAATTAACAGCGAGCACCTCCTACTCTCTTGCTGCATGATTCTATGAAAAGTGCACCAAAGAGGTTGAATGCATACTTCATTAAAAAAAAAGTCAATACAAGCCATGGCAGAGTAATCGCCATGAATCTCACTTGAGAAAAATCTTTGCCAAAAAAATTGGAAAATTCAACCCTATATTTCTTTTTTGAATTTCCTATAAGGTTTGCTTAGTCGTGCTGTGAAAGCAAATTAATTTTGAATTCCGAGAGGCTTCTGGACCATCCTGGAAGGTTGGAACCAATAGTTCTCTCATTTGACTTTATGGCAATCAGTTTCTAACACTATATTTCTGGCTGTCTGTTCAATGCCTGGAGGGGGAAGATTCTCCAGTTAGCCCAAGGTCCTTTTTGCCTTTTATTTTTCTTCAACCCCACTAGTGAGGGAAAAGTTAATTTTGAAAGCAATAATGGCAAGTGTCTCTGAAACAGAATTTTGTGAATATGTTTGCTCAAATCTTATCACTGTGTCAAGAGCAATGCCCTTCATGCATGCTGCGAGGCAGTAGGTGTGGATGAGTTAGACTTTGTTGCATGCTACTTGTTCTGCCTGACTTCACCATCACTGATTACAGCCATCGAGGCAGAGTTAATAAAAGAGCAAAGCTAGCTGTCAGGGCCGATTAGTGTGTGCGAAAAGATCGAACAAGGGAAGAATGCAGTCATTATTATTTATGGTCATTAACTGGGTTGAGTTCAGTCCCCCAGTGTCATACCTGAGACGCAGACAAGAATGCAAAGACAGAACACGCCAATAGCTGGCAAGCTCAAACCGTGTTTGTTTTGGCACATGTACTGTGCAATGAATTTGTTTGTAAATACACCGCTGACTAGACTGTCACTCTGCACATATTCATTTTCATGGATATGCTTTTCCCGAGGAAGCTGCCAATGAGCTATGTTGGTCACAACACATTTCTTTCCACATTATGTCTTGTCCTATCATCAACATCAACTAGCTGTCACTTCCACTTAGAAGGTAACACAGCATTGAGCAAAGGACTTTCCATTTATATGGCGCCTTGCACAACCTCAGAATGCCTCCAAGCACTTCACAGCTAACTACATACTTGCTGGAGTGTAGTCATTGTTGTAATACACAGAATGTCTCAGTCCATTTTGTACACAACAAGGTCCCACTAACAGCTAAGTGATAACAACCAGGTAATCTGTTAGTTAAGGGTTAATTGTTGACCAAGACACTCGGCATTAACTCCCACTTCTTTAAGATTTGTGCCATGGGATCTTTCACATCAATCTGAACAGAGGGCACAACCTTGGTTTAACACCTCATCTGGAAGATGGCATCTTTGACAGTGAAGCACTCCTGCACGGCTACAATAGAATATCAGCCGAGTTTGTCTATTCAAATCCCTGGAGTGGGGCAATTGACACTGAGGGATGAGAGTTAAAAAAACATCAATTAGATCTGTGTTTTCATGAAGAATACTTCTGGTGATGATTCCTGTCCCTCGGAGAAAACAGTTCAATTTTATAATGGCATGCAGGCAAACCACCATTTTGGGACTGATGTATTTATTAAATCTGATAATAATGCTGCTAATGATCTGCAACGATACATTTTTCTTAAAGTGTTAGACAAGCTAAATGAGTGTGAGTTGACAGAGAAACCTGTATTATACTATTGTGATATCTCAGTGATCATTTGTCTCAGGAGTGCTGTTCATGCATGCAGACTTTACATATTGCTATCGTGTAGTGTTCAACCCACTGTTGTGACGATCTATTCGAAATGAGTGCTGGCTTTTCTAAGTACCAATTATAAACCTGATCTTAAGCTATAATGAACCTTTGTTTATTTGTACCCAGCACCGTGTTAAAAATCAGATGTTTATATCACAATGTCTATTTATAGAGTATCAGTATGTGACTGTGAGTACAAGGAGAAGCATCCATTGTCTATGTTGAAAAGCTACTCTGATTTATCTGATGATTTTTGAAACTGATTGAGGCTCTGACCAGAGTTCATCGACCTAAAACATTAACTCTGCTTCTCTCTGCACTAAGACTACCTGATCAGCTGAATGTTTTCCAGCGTTTTCTGCTTTTTATTTCAGAATTCCAGCATCTGCACTATTTTGCTTTCACTCCCAATGTGTATAGATCTTCATTACGACAGTGGTGGGGATGACTTCTGTGCCAATGATGCAGGGAGGGAAAAGGCAGGGCTTGTACTCCTTATTACCAGCCAGTGGTCATGAGTCATTAGTGATTCCACAGTATATTGTGCCAACTTCCTGAATAACATCTATCCCTAACCAACATCACCATAATAATCATCTGCTCAAGTGTATCAGTGTTGTCTGTGGAGTTTGACTGCATACAAATTGACTGCTGTGTTTCCCTACATTGTAACACTGATCATACCTTGGAAATATCAATGCTGTAAAACTCTTTGTGATGCTATGCAAATACAATTCTTTTCCTTTCCAGTGAACATGAATTATAGTCCAGCAAACAATCTTTTGCAGGGGCACACAGCATGGCTACTTCATATTTCAGTTTTGTCAAAAATGTCAAGGTGAACCATATGAATTGGAGAGAGGATCAATGTTTCTTGCACCTGCCAACATGCAAAAATGTCCTCACAGCTATCATAAATTCCTATCGGTGCTCAGTTCCTTTTCTGTACCCGTGTCCTGCTTCCTTCACAATTACTTCGGAAAGTCAGAAAACAAAGATAGTTATCTTTGAACATAGTTCTTGCAAACAATTGCAATTTTGACTGCTCTACTCCAAAACTACTTTAAAACTTGGATCAACCACAAGAGTAGGCAAACCTAGAGATTAGAAACCAATTTTGGAAGCTCTAATGCAATTGTAAATGGTAGACCGAATGCAAAAACTATCAATCAGTCCTGGAGAAGGATTATTCCCTAAACATTGCCTGCTCCTTTCCTCCAAATGCTGCCTGGCTTGCTGTGTTCTTCCAGCCTCCTGTTTGTCTACCTCGGATTCCACCATCTGCAGTTTTTTTTGTCTCTAATCACGTTGTACAACTGAGTAGCCCACTGGACTATGACAGCATTTTGGAGTCAACTACGCTTTGAGGGTCTGGAGTCACAATGACCAGGCCTGACCAGTTAAGATGGCATAGTTAGTAAGAACTGCCACTGCTGGCATCAGAGATAACACAGCAGGCCAGGCAGCATCAGAGGAGCAGGAAAGTTTTCATTTCGGATCAGGACCCTTCTTCAGAAATCCTTCAGAAATCAGTTCCTTCTCTAAAGCTCATAAATGAAGTACATTTTTAAGACAGTTGATAGTTTCATTATTACTCCTTATTGCTGAGGTTAACTTGCAGTTCCAGATTTTCCTTTATTAATATAAATTTCCATTAGTAGTCACGTAGAACACTGGTTGGGGCCTTCAGATTAACTGTCCAGTAACATTAACACTACACCACAATCTCCCTCTATTGAACCACTGGTATTTGCTTGAGGGCGAGTCAAAGGTCACAGCATTTGGAAAAACAAATCCTAAATATATAAAAGAAGTTCACATAGACTCTCACATGTGCACACACTGTCTCACAATTTCATGCCTACATACTTTCATAGATGCATGCTCGTGCATGCACAATCTCATGCATGATCGCACACTCATGCATGCATGCACACTTCCACATGCATGCACATGTACACACTCTCCGATTTACCAAACAAAATAAAAAGAACTGCGGATGCTGGCAATCAGAAACAAACACAGAAATTGCTGGAAAAGTCTCAGCAGATCTCTCAGAAAGGGCCACTGGAACTGAAACGTTAGCTCTGATTTCTCTCCACAGCTGCTGACCAGACTTGCTAAGATTTTCCAGTACTTTCTGTTTTTGTTTCTCTCTGGTTTACGCACGGACAGGAAGTTGTTAAAACAAAAGAAAACAATATTAATGTTCCAAATGTGGGATACTGAATGCCAGCTTAATTATTAATTTAAAATAACCTATTTGTTAATTGCATTGAACCCTGCTTGTCTTGTTTAACACACTCAGAGCCCACAGGTAGGTTGTGCTAAATTAGCCTTAATCCTGGGAGATAATTAATGGAGGCAGGCAGCGGTAACTGTGAAACAGAGGTTAAAAAGGAAGGTCTGAGGGTGCTACACACATACACTCTCAGGAATTAACCACCAATGGTTTCTATATTTCTCTCTCTCTTTTTCCTGTTAGGCAACTAGCTGTAGCTCTAACCTGCTGCCAGACCTGGGATATCCCAATCAGCCCTCTGGCATCTTCCGTTGATCAGTAGATAAAAGTTTCCAGGCAGCAGCTCGAAAATGCCTTTCCACCTGCCATCAGTGCAAACGGTCTGAGTTCCCTGTAGGCTGCGTGTATCAGTCGGGGAGTTACGGTGGGTGACCCCCTAAGGCTCTGTGCTGGGTTCATTCCAAAAGGTTGCCTAACGAAAAGGTGCACAAGACTGCACATCGGATTATAGTCACAACAGCAACCTGCCGCGGTTACTGTCGGAGTTATTCCCTTGCAGGCACAGAAAAGAGAGAGAGAGAAAAAACAACCCGATCATTTCCCTCTTCCATTGGTTTCCTGTGTGCTGTGGGAGGACCAGACGGTGACCACCTTGAGGCTTTCTGACAGCAAGGAAACATTGAGAATTAGTCATTTGTTTTATAGACAGCGTCGGATTGGCTTCCAGCTTACTCCTAATTGACAGTAACTCGGCCGTGTGATATCGCAGGCATTTTGTCGAACATTTAAACATATATTTTCTAATGTATTTGCTTAAATATAACAGAACTGAAAAGCAAGGGAAGGCAAGTGGAAAGTCTGTCAGCTGTAATTGTTTATCGAGCCCCCCGGGGTTGCTCTCACAAGACTCTCAAAAATATCACAAAAGTGGAATTTCTTGTTTATTCAGGATGGAAGGAGGTGACAGTTAGATTTTTTTTTTGGTCAGTATTCTAAATATAAAATTTGCAATGCATTCAAACTTTGAGAGCTAAGATGTGCCATGATTATTGGAATGTATCCAGTTACTCAACAATTTTAAATCATTTGATCTTTGCCCTGTGCATTTTCCTTCCATGAAAATGGCAGAAATTTGAGATCCAGCAGACAATTGTGCAGAAGATAGGGACCAGTTAATCAACAAATGTTAAGGCAATTAAAATAATGTCATCTAAAAGGTATTTTTTGGCCTTGTCAGATTGGGAAATGTAGAAACATTGGGGGAAAAATACTTTTACTGAAGGATCCCAAGCTGCACATGCAGGTAATATAATCATTGAAAGCATAGGTTTGTATTGTAGTTTACCGTGCTATCAAATGCCAGTCACTACTGGCTTTGCTCTGGAGCTAAAAGGTTCTACGTTCCATCTAGAGACTTGAGCATAAATGCAGGCTGACCCTCCAGTGGCAGTACTGAGGGAGTGCTGCACTTGGCAATCCTTTAGGTGAAATTTAACTTGTCTGCCTTTTCAGGTGGAAGAAAAAGATTCCATGTCCCCTTTAGAAGAGGAATAAGGCAGTTCTCCCTCAAGCTCTGGACAATATTTGTCTTTGACTAACTTCAATGAAATAGTTTATTTGATTGTTACCAAACTATGGTTTGGGATACCATAATACATGCAGATTAACTGTTGCTGACAACAGTGGTAACACTACAAAGGTACTGAATTGGCTGTAAAATACTTCCTGGAAGATATTATGTGAATGATATATGTTTATATTACTGTGTCCCTTTAAAATACACACATTTAGGCACCTCTGCCTAACAACCATGAATGTCTACTTCACGCAATCAACATTTGATATTCTGTATATCAGCCCATAAAGGAACAGTGTGGAGTTCATTGCTGATCTTCTATTCATATTCAAATAAAGCTACACATTTTATCCATCATTAGAAATGCAATTAAGTAATTCCTAAACAGGAAAGGAAAATAATAACTGATGCGAAAATCTATCCTTTACAAGAAATGTTGTCGACATACAAATATGTGCTGGCACTATGAGAGTTAATTTTAACCTAACACTGCAAGTGACAATCTCTTAGGATCAGGTGGATTGTTGGTTTCAGACCTTCTAATATATTATTCCGCACAGACTTCCATGCTGAATAGAGCCAGGTGGTGCATAAGACATGAATTCTTGGTGATCCCATTACCCTCCCGACTGGTGAGTTTAGGATAGGCTCAGGCCTTACTCCATCTGTTATAACTGAGAGAGGTTGTACATGCAATTCTGCCCCTCAGCCAGTGATGCCTTTTAGATGACAGAGTGGAGAAAGCCAGCTCCCTGGTAAACCTTGTCAAAACGTCAGTTGCAGCAAACTGTCCATGCCATGCAAGAGAGCAGGAATTGTGTGGTTGTTGGAAAACAAGCTTTCAGGGATCAGATCAGCAAACTGGAAAACTCAGCTTAAGTATCACAGACAGCTGGACAGATCTCAGTGTGAAAAAGGCACTTCTAGTGTTTAACTACTGATGTGATTTATACTGGAAAGATGTGGGCAGGCCCTGAAACCCATTCATCATTTCCCGTTGGTAATTTTCTTGAATAATGCTTTGTGCTGACTACTTCTTCATGACCTTGCCGCCAAGTGCAGTAAATGGCAAGATTCTGCTCATGGAGCCTTTAAACATGGAGGGACTGTTGCAGGGCAGCTCCCATACAGTTCTATATGACAAAAAGATTCAGAGTTGTTGCAGTCTTGTGAGAAAATGATGTTTAATCCTTTAATGCCAGACATATTTTCCACCATTATATCTGGCAACTCCTTTATCTCTTGCTTTTGAAAAGTCCTATGCTTTAAAGTCCATAAACTTCATTCCTGGATACTTTACATGTTGCAAATCTCATAACACAGGAATTGGATATGACTGACAAATATTTCACTTGAACGATCAAGAGGTAATGTGCATTTCGGGTGAAGCTAATCTCATAGGTAGTCTTTCAACTGACCATATTAACACTGTGATTCTTTTGATGTCTATGCTGTTTTGTTTTGGCTACACATGTACTAAGAGGCCAATGGTTACCAGTGGAAGCCCTAACCCTTGCTGAACTATAGTCCCTCTGGCTGAGGCAGCTGGAGCCCCATTGAATTAGCCAAGTGCTTTATTATCTCACCTTTCTGGATATATTGCTCCAGGTAGCAAATTCCCAAACAAGAGTAAATGCCTTGTGTTCCACAGCCTTGAAGTTTGTTATTGTCTTTCTGCACAGCAGCATTGTGTTACAGTCGCAGTATGGGAGGGCATTGCCTTTCATGCATAGCCTGCAGTTGTTCAGAGCCCCAATTTAGCTAAAACAGTTAGACACCATGTAACTGTTGATAACAGCCCTTGGTTTAAACCTTGAGCCCCTAGGGAGGACTAAGCTTTCTCTAAAGTTTAAAATTGGAGTGATCTAGGGATTGGAAAGAGGTGATGATTGTGCTCCTGCAATATGTAGTCAGTGCCTCATTCACAGTTCAAAGCAGAGGGTTAGAAATTCAATTGTTTCCAAGTTTCTTTTAATAAAGTGTTTCCACTCAGGCCTTGCCAAATTCACTCCTTCTTCTGGTAGGCCCTCACAGCAAAGAGGACACTTGCTATGGAGTACACCCTACAGCAAAAACCTGCATGTGACGTCTTCTAATACTGGGAATTTCAACTACCAAACATGAGCTCTGGATAACTAGGAGACTCACCATCACTAGTACCTGCCACAGGCACATTTGAAGGATTTGCAATTGATAGATGATCTGTTTGACCATTCTATTACTGCAAAGTCTGTAGCCATTGATGTGAGAATCTTAGAGTGGGACCCAAACTCAGAGTTCCTGGTTTAGACATAATGACATTACTTATTGCACTACAAGAGTTCCTTACCATAGTGACTAGACTTCAAACGTACTTCAATGGCTGTACAGTACTTTGGAAATTCTAGTAAGGTCGTGAAATATATAATTCAAAGCTTTTTTTTGTTTCTTTTTGAAAATAGGTGAATAGAAAAATGGATCTTGTTTTAAAATTAAGTGTTGAAATATATAGGGTGACTTGCAGTAAGTTATAGCCTGCTACAAACTATGTCACCTGGTCTGTCCAAAAAAAAAGGCAGACATCCACATAATACTGTGAGTAGTTGGGACAGCAGTAGTTGACTGGTGTTATCCAGAGCCTGGATACAAGATGAAAGAAAGCACTTGATTCAAGTGATTTCTTTCAAACCCCCAAAATGTCCCAAAGTGCTTCGCTGCAGGTGAATCATTGATTTATGAGACTATTTGCATACCACAAAAAGCAGCTAGGATAAATGATTGGTTATCTGTCTTTGGAGGTGTTGATTGAAACACAGATATTGTCCAGAACACTGGAGAACTCTTCTGTTCTTCCCAGAATTCCAGGATAAGGGCAATCTTTTACATCCACCTGAATAGGCAGCATTAGTTTAACATCTCATCAGGAAAGAACAAGTGTTTCTATATCTGGTACTTGGAGCCCATTTTGGCTGAATTTCTGAGAAACAAGCAGTAACAACTAAAACTGCACACTCCAAATGCATCAAGGAGGATTTGTGCTTGTATACATTAAATGACAGGAATGCCAATCCCAAACACCCTGACTTGTAGCATTGCCAGCCTGAACCTATACTTCATGGATATCAATGAACAATGAAGAGTTGGATGACGGGAAGGTGGATGTTGATGGGAGGCTGCTGATGGACTTAGATATATATGGGTGTTACAACCAGCCGAGAAAGGATGAATTGGGTCTGCTCGGTTGCACACAACAAAGGTTTTAATTTCTTTTAGCACAAAGCTACATTACAGTTAATTTTGACTAGTATTACATTTTGATTAAGGATCCAATTGCCAGGCTTTCTTGAATGAAAGGAGGCATAATTTTATTACCTGCTAAAAATTTAATATAACGCAACATTCAACACAAACAGCAAAGTAGTGGAACGAGTTGACAACATAGCTATCAAGAAGCACTTGCAAAAGAATAACCTAGGCACTGATACTTCATTTGGGTTCTGCCAGGGACACTCAACTCCTGATATCATTAAAACCTTGGTTTAAACATGGACAAAAGAGCTGACATCCAGAGGTGAGGAGAGAGTGATAGCCCTTGACATCAAGGCTGCATATGTTTGAGTGTGGCATTGAGGAGCACAAGAAAATTAGTGTCACCGGGAAGCGGGGTTAACCTCTTCACTAGTTAGAGTCATTCCTGGAACCAAGGAAGATGGTTGCGGTTGTTGGAAGTCAGTCATCTCAGTTCCAGGACGTCACAACAGGAGTTCCTTAGGGTAATGTCCTAGGCCCAACCTGCTTCAGCTGCTTCATCAATGACCTTACCTCCATCATAAGATCAGAAGTGGGGATGTTCACTGATAACTGAATAATGTTCAGCACTATTTGTGACTCTAGAGTCCATGTCCATATGCAGCAAGATATGTACAATATCCAGATTTGGCCTGACAATTGGTCTGTTACTTGTCCAACTCCAGCAAGAGAAAATCTAACCGTCACTGCTTGATGTTCAATTTC